ACATACAAGTGGGTTCCATTACCATTCCTTACATAATTAGTCCAAATTAAAGGTTCAACAATGTTCGAACAGTTTGTCCTTTGGGACGTGAGAAGTGTCTTTAATGTATTAACGAACTTATTAACTCCTGCGAAGCGGCTCGACCGATTCTTATGAAATGTTTTATGCATAATTAGTAAGTTTGAGAACCTATCTATCTTACAAACCCTTAAGTTATAAGGGTGTCCCTCCAAAAATTTTTTTTTATTTTTAGCCAAATGTTTTTGGTTTTTATTTTTTTATGATAGCCGATAGGTACAACATACTCTACGATCAACCCCTATTTTTTTTTTATTATAGCAGATAGTTATTTTTATTGAACCAAAACAATATTTCTTAGAAATAATATACATGGCAAAACGTTTGTCGGGTCAGCTAGTATATATATTACATATATATATATATAATAAGATGCCTTTTTTATTTCCATATCCTTAATGTGTGTTTCAAGTAGTAGTAGTAATATGTTGCTCGCCTGTGGGTATGCACCTCCCTTGGGTAAGGCCTTCTCCAACCCTTTCCAGATGTCTCTATCTTTGGTCTGCCAGTATTTTCAAGTCAAGTCAAATCATTTATTCCAATTATTAGACCCCCTAAAATGGCACTTCAAAAGTGCGTTAAATAAAATATAAAGATGATTCTAGTTGTTCCCTCCAAAAGGTAGTTTCGTGCGGAGAAGAATGGGCAAGAAACTCCACACTTACTCTTTTAAAATAGGTTTACAATATTTTGTATACATTAGTTAAATAATTATATGTGAAGACAATGTACTCCTAGAATAAAACCACTAAACTAAAATATTCAGTCAATTATTGTATTGTTAGTATACATGTTCCTCACATATTTACAAATATCGAAACCGTAGAATATTATACATTAAAGAGTGTTAAAAAAAAAACAGCGTGTGAGGTAAAAATTAAATTAAAAATAACAAAACTATATAAAATTTCCTGCTATTTCCATCAATTCATCAGCCCACCTTCTTCTGCCGATCGCTTCCATTGTGTTGTCTTTAATGTCCATCTATTGTCTAAGTATCGTGTTACGTGTATAATATAATTAAATACGCACGCTTTCGTTTAGTGCTTCAAATAACTCTCTATAGGAATTTACAGGGAGAACATAATGAAATCCAGTACAGGTTCCGAACATCTTCTGTAAACACTGCCACTGTGTCTTATGTCTTAAATACGCTGGACATCTGAAATCGATACAAGATCCCGATTACTTGAGAGATGAGACACAAAGGAATTAATTTTATTCACCCCGGACCGGAAGGAGGGCTCGGACCGGAAACATCCGGTCTGCGATTTTATTGATTGCGGCTAATCCATTTCGGGGCTCCATGGATTCAGTGACATGAAAACCGACCGATTGTTTAAGAAAAAGTTAAAGTGCGAATTCCGTATTTGTTAACGTACCTACCTATTCATTTACTTAGACTTTGAATTTGTTTCACGAAGATTGAGATTCACATATTTGAAGAATTACAAAATAAAACTGAATAGAATACAGGTAATGACGTTTTTGGAACATTTCTAAGCAAGTTAGTCTAGGATACCTAACGTATTTACAAGAAATAAATTAATTAATTAACTTCCGTCTTCCAAAAATAAATCTTTTAATAAAAAAATATGTTAAATGTTAATAAAATAATAAAATATAAGAGAAAGTTTAATTTTTTTTTGTAAGTTAACTAGAACTACTTAGACCTAATTAATTGATTTCTCCGCTACGGCGTCGGCGCCTTATCATTGCTACTTGGTGGCATAATGCTGGTCTTATTTCAATAGAGGTAATTATTATTTAAATATTGCCGTTTCTTAAAAAAATACTAAAATACTTTACTTATTTTAAATTAAATTTTATAAACATTTTTTTATTTCTAAATATACAGGCTTGAACAATTTATACCTGCTACCTATAGTAAATTGTTTGTTTATGTAAATTCAATTCAAAATCACCGGCTAAAAGAAAACTTTAAATACAAATATAGTTTTCGTTATAAAGTGGGATATTTAGCGTTAATCACATCATTGCGTCATGCGTTAAAGCCCGTGTGAATAGGACAATGATTCGGCTGACGGTTCGGGGATTAGATGTGCTTTTAGCTTTAGAAGGTATCGCCTAACGTTCACAAAAAAAAACTAAAATATCAGAACTAATGTGTGTTACGGTTTCAGTTGGGTTCGAATATGTATGAACTTCCATAACCCCCACTGGGGCATAGAGTTTTCAGCCTTCTTTGTCGCAATATGCACAATATTTTTTTACTATACAAATGAGCAAATGTTGAACATAATCAATTTCTGCTCAGCCAGGGTTCAAACGTGAAATCGCTTTCTTAAGTACTAGGCTACTGTCATTATGTTTTCATATAAACTTAAACAAATATGTAGATAATAAAAAGAAGAGAAAATAATTAATACTTCTCTTTTAATGATATAAAGTTCTTACTTCTTCTTGCATGCAAAATTTACGACGCTGCTTTGTTAAAATTTGGTGTAATGGTTGAATTACTAATAGTATCCAGAATATTCGTTTCATATCGTTTCATGAACGAGATTAACATCGTTACTTATTTATTTTACACGACGTAACTTATTATCGGTATTCCTCCACACACTAGGAAAAAATCCAGGTGGGTGAAGTCAGAATCAGACACAGATATGAAAATACTATAATATTAATATAGACTAGTCTAAACTAAATTTGATCAACACATGTTAAGAACTAAAATGGCTTCCTGGAAAAGTGAAAAAGTACAACATAATATTAACAAAAGCCCACGTAGTCCAAGTGATAACAACTTTGCGAATTTAGCACATAAGCCTCCAAAATCCTATTAAACAACTACAAAAGTGATATTTCACGCAACAAAACACACAAAGTGGCAAAAGTCTGTCACTATACAACTCCAGGCGTATTCGCCGACAAAAGAGCAACCTTATTATTTGTTTCGCATTGTCCTTCAAAATGTAATGTCATTGTCAAGAGCGTTTAACACTCCGTTTGGCGCTAAAAGTGACATGTCAATTTTAAAAAAAGATTAAAGATCCATCGAGTCTATCTATGAGCTTTGCTTCGATAGACTTGTATGCTCTATGGTTTAAACATAATAAGCCTCCTTTGTGTATGGCCTGTTTGTGAACTTTTGATTGTGTTTTCCTAAATAGCTCTAAGGTTTTTAGTTGATTTATTGTTTGTGTAATAAAATGAACCTATCTGATTATCGATGCTGTCTGATAAAGAAGCAATGGCGTGGCCACATATGGATACATAAAGCTAATTTCGACCCCAAGCAATAAGCTAATTGTGCACGCGATCGTCCGTCATACGTTACAATTAAATTGATGAGCCTATGCTTTTGTATGCAAATGTATATTGATGTTGAAGTTTACATTTTCTCTATAACATATCTTATATGAGGTTTGCCCTGTAAGTTGACTGTTAGCCATTATTATAGCTATATATAATTATTATACTTTTATAAGCAATGTCAATCATTGATTGGCTCACAGGCTAGGGTTATATAATGTGTTTTATACGCAGATCCTGGATTCGATTCCCAGCGGAACAATAAATGTTTTGAAGGCACAGATTACCTACATACTATACTTGCTTGTTAATTATTAAGTAATCAGATGTCTAACTAACCCCACTTTAAACTTTATTTTGAAGATAACGAATTGTGAAATATCCCAAGTAGCTATATCTCTATTAGCCCTTAAATAGCGATCGATCTCTTAAAGAAGTATTTAATGACTTCGTCAACGTGTGAGGTTATAAAAAAATGGCGCCAAATGTTCGCGCCGAAATTCATTAGCCACAAAAAATTGTTCCATAGATAGAGTTATCTCACAGATGTTACGATTCCAGATTAAATCGTAAATGTTTAAAAACCCTAAGAAAGTTTTCCTAAAATTTATTATAGATTATTCTTTCTCTCGCACAGACTTTTTTACTATTCAAAGGATAGTAGCCGTAATGCTAAAGCGATAGAGCTTAAAATTGATTTGATTAAAATTTGCATGAAATGTGTAGGAAACGGAAATAGTTAAGGTGCAGATGTTCGTGATAGCGCTTTTTGGAGATAAAAATGCAATGACGTAATAATGCAACCTTATCGTCTTTTCAAAGGGTATCACTAGGGATGTCACATTTTTTATAAAGTTTTTCGATTGATTTATTACCTAGATTTATTATTTAGTAATATTTATTTATAAAGTTAAATATATATTTGGCATATGACATATAAACCTACTTAGGATCATAGGTTTTCGGGAAACCATAGTCAGTAAAAAAATGAAATCCATACCTTCTTCAGTCGCACTCTTAATTTCTGAAGGTTGTGTTAGTGGCGCCGCACAACTTCTTCCATTCTTCCACTCTCCCCTTCTCGGCAAGCCTTTCTAGACTTTCTGAATCTCTGCGTGTTACATGTTACAAATACTCGGAATGCGTTGGTAACAGTGTTGATAGACGATTTTTAACCTTTAAACCATACCTAACTGTTTCTCATCAAAAAGCAAAAAATAGCTTTTAGTATATTCTAATTACCTACTTATAATAAATACCTAAGTTATATATAACTAATAAATGACAAATTAAAATAACCTATGACAAATTCTAATAAACTTATATAGCTTATTAAATTTATCAAAGTTATTTTATCTGTGAAGTGAATAACACAAATTAATCAGAACCATAGGATTGCTCACCTTTAAAACAAAAAAGTAAATTCGGAAAATCCAATATTCGATATTCAAATCCGTATTAAAAACCTAAAACATTAAAGATCAACAAAACTAGATTGCCGACCACAAAAAGACCAAATCATAAATCATACTCATTATATCCGAACAGGATTATTTTTTATCCAAGAAAATGTTCAAAAAAGCATCAAAAGCCTGTAAAGGGGGTCGCCATTTTGTGAGGGTCTACAACTGCGGGGCGGGAAAATGAGAAGCTTTCGACCAACGGCAGACGAGTATTCAAAAAGGCGTCCTATTAACCGGCCAATCAGAGAGAAGGCTGATCTGTCATGCGCCTTGGCGTCGATCCATAGAATTATACATATAGTACGGCAGTGTGGGCTTGGCTCTTGCCGGGTGAGAGTGTGTAGCTCTTTCGTTTTTTATTAACAAAAAATGTCGAAGTGCCTCAAAACGGAATAGTGTTTAGTGATCTTGTGATAGTATTTATGTGCACTATACGTCTTTTAAGTATTTTCAAGTTTTCTAACTAATAATAAGTTAAAACAAAAGATTGTGTTATTGAGTCTCGTATCGTCTTTAAAAATTGAACACACAGAGCTAAACGCGTCATTAAAAATTGTACCATAGACAGGTCTTTTCGTAAGTGTTATAAACTGGTCTTAAGTAGACCATCCGTGTTGTTTAGACCGGTGGTAGAACCTGATACAGTGATGGTGATGGCCAGTGGTGGTGGCGGGATGGTGCAATCCCCGCCAGACATGCTGCACCATCACAACATCATGGATACTTCTTCACACGTGGAGATGATGCCCAGTAAGTAATTTTACCAATATTATAAACAGATCAACAATAAATAAAAAATAATTTACATTTACCTATGGGAAAATATGTTGTGGTATTCCTTTATGAAATTATTATACCTAAGTAACTGGTTGCACTGTTGTTGCATGCAGATGCAGGTTAATATTTCACCTTCCCATTAATTTTATTTATGACATAACGCATCGTGAAATTAAAAAAATATGTCTAAGGCCCTCACTTGAAATATAAGTGTAATTTTATTATGTTGTTAAATAATAAGGCATGTCAAATGAAAAATCAAAACTAATAGTAATAATGCAGTAACATTCTGTTTAATTAATAATTTTATGTGACCAAAACGTTTTATTTTTTATTTAGGTATATATACTAATTTCCTTAGAATATTTAGTTTGTAGTTTTATTTTCTTTACTAATGTGCAACAACTAAATTCGGGTTGGGTGTTAAATACCACCGCACTTTTTTGACGATACTAATTATCTAGGAGTGTCCGGGGGACCTTCATTGGAACACCTCCAAGTGAGTTTTGCTCCGGAAACGCGTCTAAATATTTTTATAAAAAATTTAAAGTTTTGTGTAATGTATTAAAATTTGTAAACAATCCGCCATTTTCTACTTTTCTATTGGTTATAAGTGATGTGACGTTCACTTAAAAAAATCGTGTTTTTAATTTATCGATTGTTAATAATCGTTTTATTTATTTATCGATTATTTCCTCATTTTTGAAATTTAAAGTTATAGAATAATCAACATTGAAATTAACCTAATTTCGTGTTGATAGATTATAGGGTTCCGAAATTTTTTGAAATTATCGATACCTACTCGTCTGTATTTTCTAATTAGTACTTGTATTTCATTGTTTGCAACTTTCTATATTATTTAATTTTTACTAGAATAAAGTGTTTACTTTAATATCCAAAAAGTACCCAAAACCGAATCAGAGCACCCCACTATCTACGTGGTCTTGTCTGTCTTACCCCTAGAGTGTATATAAATAATCGGAGGCGCGGAGGAAGAGCAGCCCCCACCCGCTGTAACAAAGCACAGGCATTATGAAAGCTGTAGCGGCTGAGGCTGGTCGCCGAAGGCGACCAAAAAGCTGAGGTTGCGGAGGCTTGAATAAAATGCCTGTGCTTTGGTACGCAAGGATGGAGGGGCTGCATTTCCCGTAGCGCCGGAGCTGTCCACAAAAACAAATATTATTTAGATTGGTTAGGTTAGAGTTAGTATATGAATATTTGGTCGCCGAAGGCGACCAGGACGCCGAGAAGCCGAGGCTTGAATAAACAATTACTATTTAGATCGGAGCTGTCCACAAAAAAAAATATTATTTAGATTGGTTAGGTTAGAGTTAGTATATGAATATTTGGTCGCCGAAGGCGACCAGGACGCCGAGAAGCCGAGGCTTGAATAAACAATTACTATTTAGATCGGAGCTGTCCACAAAAACAAATATTATTTAGATTGGTTAGGTTAGAGTTAGTATATGAATATTTGGTCGACGAAGGCAACCAGGACGCCGAGAAGCCGAGGCTTGAATAAACAATTACTATTTAGATCGGAGCTGTCCACAAAAACAAAATATTATTTAGATTGGTAAGGTTAGAGTTAGTATATGAATATTTGGTCGCCGAAGGCGACCAGGACGCCGAGAAGCCGAGGCTTGAATAAACAATTACTATTTAGATCGGAGCTGTCCACAAAAACAAATATTATTTAGATTGGTTAGGTTAGAGTTAGTATATGAATATTTGGTCGACGAAGGCGACCAGGACGCCGAGAAGCCGAGGCTTGAATAAACAATTACTATTTAGATCGGAGCTGTCCACAAAAAAAAATATTATTTAGATTGGTTAGGTTAGAGTTAGTATATGAATATTTGGTCGCCGAAGGCGACCAGGACGCCGAGAAGCCGAGGCTTGACTAAACAATTACTATTTAGATCGGAGCTGTCCACAAAAACAAATATTATTTAGATTGGTTAGGTTAGAGTTAGTATATGAATATTTGGTCGCCGAAGGCGACCAGGACGCCGAGAAGCCGAGGCTTGAATAAACAATTACTATTTAGATCGGAGCTGTCCACAAAAAAAAAAAAAAATATTTAGATTGGTTAGGTTAGAGTTAGTATATGAATATTTGGTCGCCGAAGGCGACCAGGACGCCGAGAAGCCGAGGCTTGAATAAACAATTACTATTTAGATCGGAGCTGTCCACAAAAACAAATATTATTTAGATTGGTTAGGTTAGAGTTAGTATATGAATATTTGGTCGCCGAATTTTCAATTATTTTTAATATTAAAATCGAATACAAAAATCGATTTTCACTTTTAAAAAAATCGATTATTTTTCACATCCCTATTAATTTTATAAACTTAATCGGCCATTTTGAATGTGGTTTATGCTAGACTAGCGGTAATTAGTTTTACAGTGCAAAGTTTACTTTATAAATCTTTATAAAATTTTTGACGCGTTTCCGGAGCAAAACTCACTTGGAGGTGTTCCAATGAAGGTCCTCCGAGACTCCTAAATAATTAGTATCGTCAAAAAAGTGCGATGGTATTCAAAACTGTTACCCATGTCCTAAAGTGTATATATATATATATATATATAAGTATAGTAAAACTATTTTATATTGTAACCGCAAATAACCCGCATAACACAGTTGTGTAAAATCAAATGCCAATTTATCAGAATGAGATCTGCTAATTTTGATTAAAATCTCGCAGCTGAGATATTTTATTGAGAAAATTTAGATTATTATCGGTGATTGGTGGGCCTGCGTTTACTACCTTGGCATTTAAGGGATTATTAGTAAAATACTATATATTTAATTAAAACACGTTTTAATAAGTTGGTATTAGCAATAGTCACCGGCCTTGATCTAAATATTCCTTTTTTATATTTAAAAACTTTTTAATTCAATTAGATATTAATGTACATACCTACTAATTATGTGGTACATTATTTATAGTTAAAATTTTATGTTTGAGATATAACATACATATTATAATAGTCTCATATGTGGCCTTCTGGCTTTAAATAGCATAAAAGTATTTGTTAAAAATAATGTATAGGAACCAACACCTGCTTAATTAATAAATTGCTAGGCAAAAACCTGTTCTGAAAGAAGGGAAAAGTACGGCGATTATAAAGGTACTGTAACCTTTAAAGTATATAATATATAGATACATATAATGTATATTTATAACACATTAAGAAAATTCAATGGCGTATTTTTATGGTATATACTGAATAGACAGCTCTCATATTACGAAGGTATTTCTTATAATAAGTTAATTACACACATTCCCTACACGAAAATGATCTTATTAAACTGTCTCTTTCTATCACAGCGTTAACACAGTGGTAGAGAAAGAGACGAATGGAAGCTTTTTTTAAAGGACTGATGATTTTAAGAATAAGGCTTTTAATGATATTTTTATGTAGGTATTACGTTTATTGTGTATAAGAGAAAAAAAATTAATTCCATTTATATTACTTTATATTTATAAATTTTTATATCTTATTGAAGCTACAAAAATTACATACATTATTATTTGTTTCTTATAAAATTTCTTTAAAAAATGACACTCCAATCAAAAATCCGAGAACCATTAAATCTTGCAAAGTTTAACCAATAAATGTAATGTGAGGGGGTTGATTGATTTATAAACGGGGGTCGTTTCGACCGAAACATTATTTCTGCTAATGCCACCCCGCATTTTGGGGTTACGAGATTTATTTGTCTATGACTTTTTCTAAGTAAAACTCATAATAAGACAGTATTTGACTGAATTAAATAAGTGTTTCTCATAGACCAGCTTTGCAGCTTAACACGTTTTAAAGTTGCTATTAAGAATATTTTTTCAGACGCTGTCTATTAATAGATAAAATTTTCTTTATCTGCCTTGTTCTCTCTGTCCTAAATCTTAATAAAAGTGGCTGTTCTCTTTACTGGCCTCTTATAAGAAAATTAAGTGATATTCTTCTTTTTATTTTAATAAATAAAAATGCGTTTATTCTATATAAATAAATATGGATTATTTCCAACACACAAATATACAAAATTTGTAACCTACATAATAATAAAAATTAAAACGAATATAAAATAATTGTTAAGTGATATTCTTCGTTATTTACACTAAAGTAGGTACACACAAAAAGCGTAATATAGAGACTAACAAAAACATTAAAGTGCAGTTGGGTTGAGTCTAGACACAATATAAATTAGCATCATTATACCTAAATGAAATGCAATTTTGTCCTTAGCAGCTGATAGATAATTATCAAAAGTATTATCGATCAAATATTAAGTAAATAAGATACATTGTAATCTTTAACAAATATTTTACAAGCGTGTTCTTGTTATTGGCAGGTGCTTTTTATCTATTATTTGTTGAGTTTAATTATTACATAGGAATGCTGTAGTGTTTAGCATAAACGCAATTGGGGAAGGGGAGGGAAACATACGCTCGTCCCTTACCTGTATTGCTATACAAAGGTAGCCGTTGAACTCTGAGGTCCAGAATTTATAACCAATTTGAAAGGTTTCAAAATGCTATCCAAAATTTTGGACAATCTCGTTAGTTTTAGTACCCGTCCCGGATTATATGGTCCTCGAGATTGAGCTAGGTTCTCTTATGCTGCAGGGATATGGGTGGGCATTTCCTGACGCTAAAAAAAAGTTTATCCAAATATATTTTCACATCCTGTAAAAGGGGTGATAAATAGATTTAAATTTAATTTGCATTATTCAGTTTAAAATGGTATAGAATTAAAAAATTATAGGACGGTGTCTGCCAGTTTTAGCATAGTTTAGGCATTTAAGATCTTTCTTTTTTTTCTTTCTTTCCAATACGCTGTGTATTGGAAATATTTCAAAATAGTAATTATACCTATATTAAGCCGATTTTTTTAAAGACTAAAAAAAAAAATCTATTCAAAATAATGTTATAACAGATATTTCTTTGTTGCTTTTGGGTTTAAACCGCTGCAAGAA